ATTGTAATATGTTGATTGGTGTGTGTGTGTGTGTGTATGTATGAGGGATCAGTCTGTGGGTTAGATAATATAATATTGTGTCCTGTAGTGTGTTTTAACATGTTGCGTGTATTTTTGATTAGTGTGTGTGTGTGTGTGTGTGTGTGTATGTATGAGGGATCAGTCTGTGGGTTAGATAATATAATATTGTGTCCTGTAGTGTGTTTTAACATGTTGCGTCTATTTTTGATTAGTGTGTGTGTGTGTGTGTATGAGGGATCAGTCTGTGGGTTAGATAATATAATATTGTCCTGTAGTGTGTTTTAACATGTTGCGTCTATTTTTTCTTAACTATTAATTTGTATTTGTGTGTACCAGTGATCAGTCTGTGGGGAAGACTATATAATATGGTCTACGTTGTGCCTACTTTTGATTAGTGAACCATGCTGTGTATGTCCCTTCTTGGTTTTTGTCTCTCCTATCCCCTTGCCCCAGTCCCTGCTGAAGGGTCTATTTTAACTAAAGTCTCTCTGTATAGGAATAAGAGCAGCGAAGGAGAGGGGACAACTCACTACATCTGGACACTCGCCCACTTGGCATACATGGCACAGTGATCCAGCAGACACCATGGGCACAGCTGGCATTGCAGTTTTCCTTGCTGGGATTCTTCTAGTAGGTGAGTATTATCTGGGGTCTCTGGGGCACTCAAATTCATTATATGGCTGTGCACCGATTGTCTTCTTAGGATGGCGATGTTTGCTCTGGGAGAATATTTGCCCTGTATGGAGGATCAGGTGGTGACGTTTGCCCTTTGTGGAGGACCGGTTGCCCTGTGTGTGGAGGACCGGGTGATGATGGTTGCCCTTAGTGGAGGACCGGTTGCCCTGTGTGTAGAGGACTGGGTGGTGACGGTCACCCTGTGTGTGGAGGACCGGTTGCCCTGTGTGTGGAGGACTGGGTGATGACGGTTGCCCTTAGTGGAGAACCAGTTGCCCTGTGTGTAGAGGACTGGGTGGTGACGGTCACCCTGTGTGTGGAGGACCAGGTGGCAATGTAAATTAAAAAAAATGTTTTGGATATATTAGAAAGACAAGATTGATGTTTTAACCACGGAGTGAATGGTTAATCTGGTTGGTGATGGAATATTGATAATTCATCTTGCAGCTCTCCGGAAAGGTAAGGATTATTGTTAATAATGATGTATTCTCTTTAAGTCTGGCAGGGATGGGGTTAGTGAGAGAGGTGCTTTGTGATCCAGCAAGGCAGTGAAGGGGTTAGTGAGAGAGGCACTCTGGAGTTTTGTGGCAGGTAAGAGGTTAATGTGGTTCCTGGGATTAATGCCGGCATGTCTGTGGAAGGGAAGAGGTTACGGTGATTCTTGAGACGGATGTTGTGTACCTCTCTGACAGGGAAGTGGTTACTGTGGGTCTTACGAGGCATATTCTGTGGGTCTGTGGCAATGAAGGGGTTACTGTAAATCCTGAGAGGCATACTCTGCAGGTCTGTGGAAGTGAAGAGGTTACTGTGGGTACTGAGAGGCATACTCTGCAGGTCTGTGGCAGTGAAGAGGTTACTGTGGGTCCTGAGAGGCATACTCTGCAGGTCTGTGGCAGTGAAGAGGTTACTGTGGGTCCTGAGAGGCATACTCTGCAGGTCTGTGGCAGTGAAGAGGTTACTGTGGGCACTGAGAGGCATACTCTGCAGATCTGTGGCAGTGAAGATGTTACTGTGGGTCCTGAGAGGCATACTCTGCAGGTCTGTGGCAGTGAAGAGGTTACTGTGGGTACTGAGAGGCATACTCTGCAGGTCTGTGGCAGTGAAGAGGTTACTGTGGGTCCTGAGAGGCATACTCTGCAGATCTGTGGCAGTGAAGATGTTACTGTGGGTCCTGAGAGGCATACTCTGCAGGTCTGTGGCAGTGAAGAGGTTACTGTGGGTACTGAGAGGCATACTCTGCAGGTCTGTGGCAGTGAAGAGGTTACTGTGGGTCCTGAGAGGCATACTCTGCAGGTCTGTGGCAGTGAAGAGGTTACTGTGGGTCCTGAGAGGCATACTCTGCAGGTCTGTGGCAGTGAAGAGGTTACTGTGGGTCCTGAGAGGCATACTCTGCAGGTCTGTGGCAGTGAAGAGGTTACTGTGGGTCCTGAGAGGCATACTCTGCAGGTCTGTGGCAGTGAATAGGTTACTGTGGGTCCTGAGAGGCATACTCTGCAGGTCTGTGGCAGTGAATAGGTTACTGTGGGTACTGAGAGGCATACTCTGCAGGTCTGTGGCAGTGAAGAGGTTACTGTGGGTACTGAGAGGCATACTCTGCAGGTCTGTGGCAGTGAAGAGGTTACTGTGGGTACTGAGAGGCATACTCTGCAGGTCTGTGGCAGTGAAGAGGTTACTGTGGGTCCTGAGAGGCATACTCTGCAGGTCTGTGGCAGTGAATAGGTTACTGTGGGTACTGAGAGGCATACTCTGCAGGTCTGTGGCAGTGAAGAGGTTACTGTGGGTCCTGAGAGGCATGTTATGTACAGGTCTCTGGCAGAGAAGAGGTTACTTTGACCCAGGGGGGTGATGATTTACAGGTCTGGCAGTGAAGGTGTTACTGTGGTCTCTGGCAGGGAGATCCAAAGGGGTTAATCTGCATGGCCTTGGCTGTAAAAGTGTTTCAGGAAGGAGGAATTGTGCAGATCTCTGGTGGTGAAGGGGTTGCATGATGGGGAATTAATCAGACTCCATGAGATGATTATCACAGTGAGTCAGGGGTCGGACAGGGCTCCAGGTGCCATTCCTCGCCCACTCCTGCCCTGTGGGCACATTGACTCCATATGTTCAGTGATGCATGGCTGGGGTGCTGGCACAGGGGGTACACACTAGCCATTCACCCCTCTTACAGGATCAGTCAGTTTGTTCCCATTGTAATAACAATTATCTGATATTAAATAACCTGGGAATCTCTATCCAGAAAGATCCAGCATTTTCACAGGCTGGTTCTTCTGTTTAACCAGGGATATCGTGCAAACAGGGTCTTTCCTTACCAGTAACAGATAAATCTCTGACCAGTTAACAATGTAATCTGTTACTGTGGGAAATAGAATTAAGGGGGTGGAGATGGGGGGGGGGGGGGCGTAGCAGGAGGATGGTGGGGCGGCGAAAGCAGGAGATGGTGGGGGCTGCCAGCAGGAGATGGTGTGGGGCGTAGGGGCAGGAGATGGTGTGGGGGGCGCGCGTGAGTGGTGAGATGGTGGGGCGCGTAGCAGGAGATGGTGGGGAGCGAAGTGGTGATGGTGGGGTGGGGGAGTATGAGATGGTGTGTGGGGCTTAGTGCAGGAGATGGTGTGGGGCGAGCAGGAGATGGTGTAAATATATGAGATGGTGGGGCTTAGCAGGAGATGCAGCGAGCAGGAGATAGGGTGGGGGGGGGGCGTAGCAGGAGATATATACTGTATATATGGGGGAGGTAAGAGATGGATATGTGTAGACACTTACTCACAGACGTTCATGTTTTTTCTTTGAAAGGCTGGTTGTGTGTTTTATGTGGTTTTTACCTGTCTGGACACAGCTGAGTCTGCTTATCTTTCTGCACCCCAGCTGTTCCCAGTGTCTTCTACCAGTAGTCCCTGTGAGTTTGGGATTTAAAGAGGGTTACTGTACATTTACCCTGTGTGCCCTGCTCTATATTACATTAAATCTGATATGTTTTATGTGGGGTTGAAATATCACGTTATCCAATTTTCAGAACGATTCTATCCATTTCTTTGAAGCTGTCTCTCTGGAGAGTTTATAATTGTTCGCTCTCTGGGCCAGACTAGCAGAAATCTATGGGAAACCAAATGCTGAAAGACATTAATTTACCCCTTTCCTGGGGTAAAAAAAACATGTAGCGCACCCTACAGTAAAGAGGGGAGTAATGGATCATTGCATGCAATATAAACTTTCTATATATGGAGCATGGCGTCCCCTGTGTTGGCTGATGAGCTTTGCACGGCGTGCCCTGTGTTGACTTGGCACTGTGTTGGCTGACCTGGCTTGGCACAGTGTCCTCTCTTGACTTGGCACTGTGTTGGGCTGACTAAGATTGGCATGACATCCCCTGGGGTTGCTTGGCAAGGAGTCCCATTTTTGGTTGACCTGGCCTAGCATGGAGTCCCCTTTTTGGCTGACCTGGCTTGGCATGGAGTCCCCTGTGGTTGCTTGGCTGTCAAGGCTTGGCACCGAATCTGGGCACTGGGATCAAGTATTCTATAACGCTGTCTTGAACGTTCTCGTCTTGCACTATTCCATATTGGGTAGTTAGGGTGTATTGACTTGTGCTGCTATGATATGATGCTACTATGGCAACTACACATTGGGGATGTTGCGTTGCTATAGTAAGTTATAATATACATCTGTTTCTAGTCACATGACGTTACAAACAGAGCAGTTTGGGAGATCTATTACATTATATTAGTGTGATAAAACGGACTCTGTGAGTGATACATAGATAGAAAAGCATATTCACACATACACACACAGACCCAAGTTTGTGCCCCAACTCAAGTTTAATATCTAAATTTGTTTGTTGTTAACCACTTACATTACAGGTGCATAATAGTGATAATTAGTTAGGGTAGATTTAAACTCACCTCTCTAAATTTACTGGGTTTGGTTTTCCAGCCACATCCACTGCAAACAGAAATAGAAAATGAGGTGTACGGTCAGGTACTCTCCATAGACAGACACTGGCGGTAATATCCCCCGGGTACTCTCCATAGACAGACACTGGCGGTAATATCCCCCGGGTACTCTCCATAGACAGACACTGGCGGTAATATCCCCCGGGTACTCTCCATAGACAGACACTGGCGGTAATATCCCCCGGGTACTCTCCATAGACAGACACTGGCGGTAATATCCCCCGGGTACTCTCCATAGACAGACACTGGCGATAATATCCCCCGGGTACTCTCCATAGACAGACACTGGCGTAATATCCCCGGTACTTCCCCATAGACAGACACTGGCGTATTATCCCCCCTCGGTACTTCCATAGACATATTTATTATTCATCTTTACCACTTTTTTCTTCTCTCTCTCTCTCTCTCTCTCTCTCTCTCTATAGAGAGAGAGAGAGAGAGAGAGAGAGAGAGAGAGAGAAAAAAAAGTGGTAAAGATGAATAATTTTTGCGCGTTAAAGAATAGGCACCATAGCATTCAGGGTGGAGTAATAGTTTTAGAAAATGTTACATGTATAGACCTGAGAGTGGATGCCACACTCTATACACCCTGTACATTGTGTTTTATATATTAGTGTTTTCATTCAATGCTCCCACACATTCATGTACCAGTCTCCCCTCCAGCAGTGTGACGTTCAATCTAATTTAATAAAGTATTCTGGGTGTAATATGCTTTATTGGATGCATGCCCTGCTGGCTCACAGACTATGTTTGACGTGGTACTACCCCTCTAGCGCCCGTGGCATTCCGTGGAGTGTTGAGTCCGATTAGAATGAATGCGATATGATGACATATATTTTATGGGGAGGGGAGAAAATCATCGAATGTTTTCCAATTGAAACTCTCTGACTATTGATGGATAATGCTTCAGATGACTTCTGGCTGTTGTAGGAATTGGTAGGGATGGATTATATTCTCAAAGTAGAGCAATCACTATGGTAACTGTTGGGATGTTCCTAATGATTGCACTAGTTTCCACGACGACTGCCCCAATTCAAGTACTTTGCTCTAGTTTTCTATTACTGCCATTATTTATAATGTGTGGGGTTTTTTTGTAGTCTGGGAGCGGATTGTAATCCCATATGCAGTAATATGTGCGTGTTCAGTAAATGATTTTGTTTAATGATCTCGATCTGTGTGGCTCCATGCTGTGTGCTTTCTATATCTGCTGTTTGTATTTCAGCTTGTTTTTATTGCCTGTTTTCCACATTCAGGTCTTTCTGATTTGTGTACTTTTTGTTGTGTCTCTGGTCAGAATTTCGGTGGGACCTGACATGGTCATTTCTGGGTGATCTAATAAGGAAATGCTAAATCGTCAGCTTCCCGACACACTCTTTATGGATTGTGGATCCTTTAAGACATGTGGCCTGATTTTTAATTATAACAAGTCGTTAGTTTATACCTCCTGCGGTTACAGCTCTGATATAAACACTATATATTACTGTCTGGTGTCATGTCAGCTATGTAAACACATAATCTCTGGTCTCCACTTAATAAACAGGGGGTTTAGCTGTAATTTCCTGTTACTTGTGGTAGCTTTGGCTGCCGCGTATCAGTATAGTAAATATGGGCAGATTTACAGAACATATTTAATGGCAGCTTCTCCTCTGGGTCCCAACCTTCATGACTGTTCAATCAGTTAATGGATTTGGGATTACCCCAATCCGTGTCCTCAGTTTAGCTGGAATATATCATCACCCTTTGCCATGGGCAATTTGTCCTCACTGTGTGTGATATCGGAACTTGAGTGCTGTGAGTGACTGACAGTCACACTGTTTGGGGATCAGAAAGTTAAATTATGCTTTAAAACATTTAGGAATCAGGTTTGTCCTAATGCAGAATCTGTTCCAATCTGGAGCAGAATGACATGGCCAATTCCTGTCTAAAGAGACTGGCCGTCTGCTGTAAAATGTCCATTGTTTTGTGGTCACCCAGCTGCTGGTCTTGCTGCCGTTTGGGATAGTCTATAAATATAATGTTGATCTGAAAGTTAGTTTTGTGGTGGTTGTGGTGCGTTTGTATTGACTGGCACTGCAGACTGTGGTATGAAGGGCAGACTTCTTCCGCTTGGTTTGCCTGTCCTAGAGGTGTCCTGGGGACTTTCAGTAATAAGGAGATGGGGCAGCAATGTCCTTGCAGTGAGTGGTTTTGTTTATTTTGCCATAAATGCAGTGTGTGTAAATCGATGGCGTTCTGTTCACTGAATGAATATTTAATGTGGTCTAATGTACCGTGGAGTCCAGAATTTACTCACCTTCCTTTTCTTTTGTGTTTTAACCCTGCACTTGCCTGTCTCCTGTTAGCCGTGCTGTAACTGTTGTAAAAGCTTAATGATCTCCTACAAATCATCTACCGTAGCTTTCAGCTCTGCCACCCTAAACACATCTATAGAGATTTTCCACCCGCCTGCCACCCTAAACACATCTATAGAGATCTTCCACCCGCCTGCCACCCTAAACACATCTATAGAGATCTTCCACCCGCCTGCCACCCTAAACACATCTATAGGGATCTTCCACCCGCCCGCCACCCTAAACACATCGATAGGGATCTTCCACCCGCCCGCCACCCTAAACACATCGATAGGGATCTTTCACCCGCCCGCCACCCTAAACACATCTATAGGGATCTTCCACCCGTCCGTTACCCTAAACACATCTATAGGGATCTTCCACGAGCCTGCCACCCTAAACACATCTATAGGGATCTTCCACCCGCCCGCCACCCTAAACACATCTATAGGGATCTTCCACCCGCCCGCCACCCTAAACACATCTATAGGGATCTTCCACCCGCCCGCCACCCTAAACACATATATAGTGATCTTCTACCCGCCTGCCACCCTAAACACATCTATAGTGATCTTCCACCCGTCCGTCACCCTTAACACATCCATAGGGATCTTCCACGAGCCTGCCATCCTAAACACATCTATAGGGATCTTCCACCCGCCTGCCACCCTAAACACATCTATAGGGATCTTCCACCCGACCTGCCACCCTAAACACATCTATAGAGATCTTCCACCCGCCTGCCACCCTAAACACATCTATAGGGATCTTCCACCCGACCTGCCACCCTAAACACATCTATAGAAATCTGCCACCCTAAATGCATCTATAGAGCTATGCCACCCGCCTTCAGCTCTGCCACCCTAAACACATCAATAGAGATCTGCCACCCTTAACACATCATTAATGGTAAATTGTTGTCATTAATGATGCATTTTCAAGCCGGGCAATAGTGGTAAGTGGTGTCCCTCAGGGTTCTGTTTTGGGACCGCTTCAGTTTAACATATTTATAAACGATCTTGAAATAGGCATTGAAAGCCATGTATCAGTGTTTGCAGATGACACAAAACTTTTGTAAAGTAATAAAATGTGAGCAGGATATTGCTTTGCTGCAGAGGGATTTGGATAGATTGGGGGACTGGGCACTAAAATGGTAGATGAAATTTAACATAGAGAAATGCAAAGTTATGCACTTCGGGGTTAAGAATAGATAGATTGGGGGACTGGGCACTAAAATGGCAGATGAAATTTAAACGTAGAGAAATGCAAAGTTATGCACTTCGGGGTTAAGAATGCACAAGCAACTTACATGCTAAATGGTAGTGAATTAGGCATAACCACACATGAGAAGGATTTGGGAATTGTTATAGACAACACATTAGGCAGCAATATGCAATGTCAATCTGCAGTTGCTAAGGCCAGTAAGATTTTGTCATGTATAAATAGGGGCATAAATTCTCGGGATGAAAATATAATTTTGCCTCTTTATAAATTGCTGGTAAGACCACACCTTGAATATGCTGTGCAATTTTTGGCACCTGTTCTAATGAAAGATATAATGGCACTAGAAAAAGTGCAGAGAGGAGCTACAAAATTGATAAAAGGAATGGAGCATTTTAGTTAGGAAGAAAGGTTAAAAATTTTTAATCTGTTTAGTTTGGAAAAACGGCGCCTGAGAGGGGATATGATAACTTTATAAAAATATATTCGGGGCCAGTACAAACCTTTATCTGGAAATCTATTCATAAACAGGGCTATACATAGGACACGAGGTCACACATTTAGGCTTTAAGAAAGAAGATTTCATCTAAGGCTAAGAAAAGTTTTTTTTTTTTTTTTTACAGTAAGAGCAATAAGGATATGAAATTCTCTGCCTGAAGAGGTGGTTTTATCAGAGTCCATACAGATGTTTAAACTGCAATTGGATAAATACTTGCACAAACATACAACATACAGGTATAATTTCTAATTAGTGGGGTATTAGCGTCTTGATCCAAGGAGACATCTGACTGCTATTTTGGAGTCAAAAAGGAATTTCTTCCTAGTTTGTTGCAAAATTGGAAGCGTTTCATACTGGGGTTTTTTTTTGGGGGGGGGGGAGGTTGGGTTTTTTTTGCCTTCTTTTGGATAAACAGCAAACATATGTGAGGAAGGCTGAACTTGATGGACACAAGTCTCTTTTCAGCTATGTAAGATATGCGACTTGCCACATTAAACAGATCTATAGAGATCTGCCACCTGTCGCCCTAAACAAATCAATAGATATTCCGCCCACCACAATAAACACAGGGATTCTGGGTATTAACCTGCCTTACCCCATAATCACACGGTATACAGAGCGTCCCCCTGTATACGCCCCCTGCAGCCAGGGATTCTGGGTAAGGGATTCTGGGTAATAACCCGCCTTACCCCATAATCACACAGTATACAGAGCTTCCCCTGCAGCCAGGGATTCTGGGTAATAACCCGCCTTACCCCATAATCACACAGTATACAGAGCGCCCCCTGCAGCCAGGGATTCTGGGTAATAACCCGCCTTACCCCATAATTACACAGTATACAGAGCTCCCCCTGCAGCCAGGGATTCTGGGTAATAACCGCCTTACCCCATAATCACACAGTATACAGAGCTCCCCCTGCAGCCAGGGATTCTGGGTAATAACCCGCCTTACCCCATAATCACACAGTATACAGAGCTCCTCCTGCAGCCAGGGATTCTGGGTAATAACCCGCCTTACCCCATAATCACACAGTATACAGAGCTCCCCCTGCAGCCAGGGATTCTGGGTAATAACCTACCTTACCCCATAATCACACAGTATACAGAGCTTCCCTGCAGCCAGGGATTCTGGGTAATAACCCGCCTTACCCCATAATCACACAGTATACAGAGCTCCCCTGCAGCCAGGGGTTCTGGGTAATAACCCGCCTTACCCCATAATCACACAGTATACAGAGCTCCCCCTGCAGCCACGGATTCTGGGTGATAACCCGCCTTACCCCATAATCACACAGTATACAGAGCTCCCCCTGCAGCCAGGGATTCTGGGTAATAACCCGCCTTACCCCATAATCACACGGTATACAAAGCTCCCCCTGCAGCCAGGGATTCTGGGTAATAACCCGCCTTACCCCATAATCACACGGTATACAGAGCTCCCCC